CCCACACCTGCACTACTTCGAATTTTGCTGTGGTCACTTACTAGACAACCTCCAATCTCTGCAAAAGATGGGGTGGCTTTGGCAGCCACACTTCTCTTTCATGTGAGAGCCCTGACTCACATCCAGAGCAGGACATTTTGTACACTAAATGGGGCAGGCATCCTGTGGGAAAAATAGCATCTAATCATGTAATGAAACATATTGCATGCAAGCAGAAGTGAAGTAATGGGCAATTGTAGTTGCCTGGTTCTTCACTTCAGATGCATGGGTGTGAAACACTCCTGTTCTGGTAAGGTAGTGCATGTCTTCAAGCATCTACATAAATGACATTTTTAATCATTTTGCTTTTTTAAAGGAAACAAAAGTAGAACTTCCATCATGTAACATCTATTTGAGGTGACGAGTCTTAACTGCACATTCCAGGTCAGCAGCAAAGGGAGAGCTGGGTGGGAGAGGTGCTTCTTTTGGCTGCGAGGACAAGTGCTATGAAGAGAGTGGACAGTGGGATTCCCAGGTCTCTGCTGATAGCAGAGAGACAATGATGACAAAACAATTCCCAGCTCTCAGTGAGATAATTGCTGACAGTGTCTCCTTCCCACCAGCAGCCCCAGTGCCAGCCTCTACCCATGCAGTCTCCTGCCCCACAAGATGTCATGTCCCAGCCCCAGGCTCCCTCCCACCATGGCTTTTTGCTCTCCCAGACTCAGCTCAGCACAGCTGCCCTACCTCAGCAGCCATATCCACACCTTCTGTCAGGGCTTTCCATTTTCATCAAGGTCCCATTTCTTCCTCAGCTCCCAGTTTTTCTCCCATCAGCCTCCCTCTCCCTCCAGCCCTTCCCTTTGCCTTGTTCCACTCTCCAAATGCCTGAGGATCCCCATCCTTGCTGATACTACTCACAGGCTCTCCGTGTCCACTTGGGCACTGAGGACCATCCCCAGGCTACTGCCCATCCTTTCAGGACAGTCCCCTCCAAGGACATAGTGCCCAATCCAAGGATGCCACAACAGCCAGCAGTGGAGAAGTCTGACATCAAATCTGTGTCCTGAGAGAAAAACATGAGAGGAGCCTTTTCCTGAGAAAGGAAGAGAAATGCAACCTCTGAGGTCCTTCAGAGCTAAAACATCTTGGAGTGTGAATCAGCAGAGATTTTGCATTCAGTGCTCATACAGGCCTCTGCTGAGCATGCACCATTTGGGGACAGTTTGAATGCTTTTAACGTGGCCAAGAGCAGGTGTTTTTCTGAAGGAACATAATCCTTGACAGGTCAGTGGAGCTACATGGTTGGTCTTTGCCCTCAAGTATGGGGAGCTCAGAGCAGCTTGTGGAAGCCCTCACCTGCTTCCTG